CCGCAACACCGCGGATGATATTGTCGGCAAGGTCGAGCTACCTATCCGTGAGATGCTTCAGCATCCCAGTAAGATGTATCCCCAGGTGTCAAAGCTTCAGGGTATGAATGAGGGCAGTGAAATGCCTGGTCAGCTGCATTGGGAAGTTGGATACTTTGGGAAACCAAAACTTCGCCCTGAGCTGCGTACTGATGGCAAGAAGAAAGACCTTCCCGAAAACCTGAAAGGCGATCCGAATTTCGAAGATGAAAAGGGGGCCATCAACAACGAAGAAGAGGACGCCGTTATGCATACACCACCTGATCCAATCTGGCCTAGCGGTATTGTGCACATTGTTGTGCACCAGATCGTCAACCTTCAGCTTGCCAATATCAAGGGTAGTGATGGGAACCGCAAGGGCAAGGAGTATGAGCCGGCGAAACCATATGGTGAGAACACAGAGGAGGAGGGTGAAGATCTCCCAACCAGTTACTGCAAGGTTTTGTTGAACGATCAACTGGTACGTATCTGTAGTATCATACTCTCACCTGCAGATCCTAGATACTAACATAATGTTTCAGATCTATCGCACTCGCGCAAAGGCTGTGAGCTCCAAGCCTATCTTCAACGCAGGAACTGAACGATTTGTTCGCGACTGGCGCTCAGCCGTTGTGACCATCACCGTCCGAGACCAGCGCTATCGCGAGCATGATCCCATCCTTGGTGTGGTCCCGCTCAAGCTGTCCGATATCTTGCAAACTAGCTCCCAAGTGACCCGCTGGTATCCCCTCGATGGTGGCATTGGATTTGGACGCATACGCATTTCTCTTTTGTTCCGCCATGTAGAGACCAAGTTGCCACTTACAATGCTTGGCTGGGATGTTGGCACCTTTGAATTTGCTGGACAAACTATCATCGCGAAGGACTACGGTCGAAACACTAAGATCAAGCTACGCACCGGTGGCAGCGTTGGCAAACTCTCCCGACACATATGCCACATGCAAGGCAATGACGCGGTGTTCGATACCTCCGATGAGACTTTCCGCGATACACTACGCATGCCCGTGAAGCACCGATACCGCTCCCCAATTGTTTTCGAGTTCCACAACCAGGGCAAGCGAAGCGCAGCAGCATACGCTGTTTTGTGGCTTCAACATCTTGTCGATAACGAGGAAACAGACATCGACCTTCCCATCTGGACGACCAAGATGGGTGCTCGCTTGACACAAAATTACGTCACAGAGCAGAACTGGAAGGCCAAGGAAACACCTGGACTTGAGGACTTGACAGAGGTGGGACGTCTGCAGTTCCGCTGCAAGTTCTCGCCGGGCATTGACGAATCGCACGAGCGTTTCGTCGTTGACAATGACTCCCGCGAGACCTTCGAGACCTGGGAAGCGTGTCTTTCGCAGGGTGTGCGTTCCCGCACCGTGAACATCGAGGTTCCCCCAGAAGTACAGGAAAAGCACGAGCAGTCCTTGATCGATGGACGGGATATCTTGAAGCAAGCCTCGCCCGCTGAGCGTCAACGATGGATTGACCACGACGGCCAAGATTGGAGTGGTGCGTTCGGTCAAGACCCGCGTGCCTTCACTGATTCCATCGGACGCAAGGTCGCCGAGCCTGGCCGAGACCAACCTCATCATGACCCATACACCCCTCCTCCACTCAAGGATCAAGCTTCTTCCCATCGAGCTAGTTATCAAGGTGGAGAGAACGAGGATGACGACACCTCGGATTCAGATGACGAGCTCGAGTCTTTGAGTAAGGGTCCCTCGACTATTAGTGGCAGCGGTGGAGCTAGTTCGTCTTTGGCACAAAGCAATATGAGTGCCAGTCAGGTAAACAGGGCGAATAAACACAGTGAGCAGCGTCAGCAGCGTGGTCTCATGCAGTGGAAGCCTGCGCGGAATGCTGCTTTCGCCAAAAATGAGGCCAAATTTGCGCTCCAGAAGATGAAGAAGAAGATCGGAGTGGGTGGTCTTACTGGTCGTGAGCCAGATGTTGAGACGGAGACTTGACGATGTACGAATGATTTCTATCTGGTATCGGCGTTTTGTATTTTGCATTTGCATCAATCGACTGTATACAATAAATATCTGTTATTTCCCATTTAACCTCAATATTGATCCTATGGACAGGGGCCTTATATCCCGTCGGACTACTACGAAGATCTTGACTGGGCCCCAAAAATCGTAAGAATATTGAGGTATATCGCCAATTCAATCGAGCAGGACAGGATTCTTTGTAGGATATTTTGGGAGCCAAAAAAACAGGTTATGGTATGTATTGTGACCTGGAAACAACCGGTGAGATACGCTATTGTAAACAAGAATATTCTAAGACCCTGCCTGGTAAAGGTGGGAAACGACTAAGAATTGGAGTTGTGAATTTCGCATTTTGACGGCCACTCGCTGTTTTGTTTTGCGGTGCCTGATGAGATTGGGAAAAGTGCATACAATATGTATACATCGAAAGGATCCATGGGATATAATGCAATAGAAGATAAGATGTTAAAACCATAGCCATGGAGAGAAAAAAAAAAAAAGAGCGCATATGCGCCGAAGAGCCACCGGATAAACCCAAACAACACCTCTATACAACATGATTCGTGAGTAAATTATATGCATCGCCATAATTATGCAAGAAAAAGAAAGAAACGGTGGGAAAGAAACCCCCTAAAAAGGGACATCAACCATGAAAGCATGAACGTTGCAAATAATTAATGATCGGGCGCAAAGTCGGTGGATACTCGGAGAGACTCAGATCCCGAATTAGCCTGTGCCGCATGCAACAATGAGACATTCTCGGATCCACTGTTCGAGGCCTTATCGACAGGCCCAAGATCGACAGGCCCAAGAGTCCATTTCCATTCCCTCCGACGTTTAGCCCGACCCTGCCGAGGAGTCTGCGGCGTGGAGGATCCATCAGCCTCAAAGCCATCTAGCAGAGCCACCGCGCGAACCTGTCGCTCTACCTGCACCGTGCGGCGTTTTTTGCGTTCCGTTTTTGAGAGCGAGGAGCTGCGCACGCCTTCATCGGCACTGGTATCATCGGAGGTACTTGTCTCTGATAACGAGGGGCTGGAATCGGAATTCTCTTTTTCGCCTTCGATGTTCTGGAAGGGGGCGGGGCGTGTCTCAGGTGGGGATTGGGCGTTGGTGTCTGCCTCGGCCTGCACTGCCTCCTCCGTCACGAGGTCGAGATGTTGCGCCGTGTAGCGTTCTGTGCGGATCTCTTCTTCCAGTGGGTACCGATAGCTGACTTGTTTCTTTGCTGGGAAAAAGACGCGACGGGAGCCTGCGCCGTTGGGACCATTGCCGCCCGCTGAGATGGAGCCTGATCGTCGGCGCGTTGAGGGTTCTAGCGGGGAGTTCCGTAGAATGCTGCGCACTCCGATGGGGAGTTGGTAGGGGCTTCGGTGGTTGAAGTGATTATTGTTCGGGTGGAGGATGAAGGGGGAGGTTGGTTTGTTGTAGCGGGTGGATTTAGTGGGGGAAGTTGCAGATGATGGGGATGGGACTTCGTAGGCATTCTTGAAGGTATTTCGAATAGTGGGGGAAGAAGTTGGTGCTGCTGCGAAGGAAAAGGATAGGCCAGTAGTCGAAGTGCCAAATGTGCGAGGAAGAGCGGTGGTTTGGAGGGTGAGTTTTGGTCGGGAGGTTATTGTCGTTGTGGCATCTGGCGATAGACACGACATGGTGGAAATGTAGAGAGGAATTAAAAGGATCAAATGTGTATCATCAAAGAGAAAGAAAAAAAATGCGGAATGTGTTTGGCGGGGTACTAAGAATAGAGGAGGTTGGCGCTTGGATGTGATGAAAGTGATAAAAGTGATGAAAGATGCATGTCACAAGGGGAGATTAAAGACTTAAAGATTTAACTTTGACACATTCTAGTGTATACCCCATAGAGTATAATAAAATAAGATAATAATATAATATTTGAATCATATACTCCGAAGGACTCCGTTAAAACAAGTCGAAGAGTCAGAGATTTTCATTCCAGACTCAAGTGGATGCGTAAAACTATCGACGCCACCATCCACACTATTTTTCAACTGTGTTTTTTTTTCTAATTTAATCTACACGAGTACGAATTATGGGGTACGAAGGACACGGAGAGCACGGAATTAAGAGTAACATAGTTCATCTAGAACAATTTTAATCTATTTCTTAAAAATCATAGTCAAAAGAAAAAAAAATTTCATCTATAAAAAGAACAGGGCCCGTGGGTCTCTGATCTACATCTATACGGGTACGTACTTTGGTGGCAAAGACTAAAAATGTGTATGGAGAGAAATCTCTGTTGAATTTCATTTTGAACTATATCCTATTATTCCTTTGTCTACAATATAGGTACTTGATCTATACATATGGTGTCCCTAAGATCAAAACCCGATCTAAACCCTTGTCACTGGGTATATATCACATGTGATGGCCGCAAACATCAAAGAGGGTCTTCTAGGCTATAATTGGTAGAAAATAGATGAAACTGCGCCGAATTCACTGCTTATAACTATTCATCTTATTTTCGGGGGTGGCAGTGTGACATCAACCCCACCTGATGGTGTCGGCGATCTTTTTAGGTGGCATTATTCAATTTCGTGAAGGGCATGCCGGAGGAAAGCTTGACCGATCGACTAGGGTAAGGCAGCACCGGGTCTCTCTTTGGGTGGATATGTCTAAAGGAGAGAGAATGCAGCCTTGGAAGATATAATTGTTTAAGAACCAATCAACTTTAAAATAACCCACAGCTGCCTGTAGGTGTCTGTAGCCTGATATGCTTGATATTGAACGAGTATATACTCCACGCAGGCAGCAAGGCAACAAGGCTAATAATACTAAGCCACCGACGCCACACACACACACACACACACACACACACACCAGCCACAAATATGGGTTCTTTGGAAGTTGCCTTGGGTTTCTGTTTTCAGCTGTTTTCAGCTTCGGGGTCTTTACCAGGCAGAAAATCAACTTTGCAGGTCGCATGGTCACAGCTGAATCAGCTCAAGGCTCATGACTCCACTAGTGCGGAACGACAGTCGTATCATCCTCCACTTGGTAACCCTCCCCACTCTTAGGTACCATCCTTTGACGACTAACCATACCCAGGATTATGACTGTTTCTATGCCTCTGTTTTTGAAGTTGAGCAACCTGAATTGAGGTCACTTCCCTTGGCAGTTCAGCAAAAGCAGATCGTGGTGACATGTAACTACGAAGCCCGACGGCGAGGTCTGCATAAGCTACAGCTCATCAAAGATGCCAAACGCATCTGTCCCGATGTGGTAATAGTTCTGGGTGAAGACTTGACAAAGTTCCGAAATGCATCCAAGGAGCTTTATTTGCTGGCTCGCTCCATTGTCTGGGGGGCCGTGTCGAAAAACTCGGCTTTGACGAGCTCTTTCTCGACGTTACGGAAATGATTGACTACAATATTGGCGTATTGAATCAAAATGACTTGACGAATTCGTATTTCCATCTTGATCGGAAGGATCCGACCGTTGGGTTTTCTTACGACGCCACTCGCTTTCAGGGGTCGACCTTCCCTGCAATGGAGGAAACCAGCGTCGCTCCGACTGATCCGTCTTCGTTGGAAATGAGGTTGCTCGTTGCCTCCCATTTACAAGGTCATATACGGAGTAAGCTGGTGCATCAGATAGGCTTCACGGCTACGGGCGGGATCTCAACCTCCAAACTATTGGCAAAATTGGTAGGGAACGTTCACAAGCCCAACGGCCAAACGACTCTTCTGCCGCCATATACGGCAACAGAAGATAATACTAGCAACGTGTCGAAGTTCTTGGATGATCACGAGATCCGGAAGATTCCTGGAATTGGTTCTCGCATTGCCCAGAAACTAAAATCCCATGTCACAGGGCAAGAGAGCGTCGACGAGAAGGTCACTGTCAAGGATGTTCGACAGTCCCCTGGCATGGGCCCACCTTTACTGGACAGAATCCTCGGCGGGCCAGGCTCAGTGAAGGGCATCGGGATGCGCATGTGGAGCATTCTCCATGGTGTAGATAATTCCGAGGTGCTGGAGGGTCGCGATGTGCCCACTCAGATCAGCATCGAGGATTCTTACGGGCGGTTAGATACGCTCGAGGGTGTACGACGAGAGCTAGTAGTGCTGTCGCGAAGTCTGATCCGTCGCGTAAGAACCGACCTACTTGATATGAGTGATGACACTGCTCCCCAAGGGAGATGGCGTGCTCATCCTCGCACTCTGCGGTTATCGACCCGGCCAAGACCTCCGCCAGACTTGGGGACGGGGCGTGCGCACAGTTACAATCGCATCTCGCGGTCAGCGCCCCTGCCACCCTTTATTTTCAACTTGGATGAGAATATCGATGCACTGGCCGAGCGACTGGTCCGAGAATGTGTTTTGTCCATGTTCCGCAAATTACATCCTGAAAAGTCTGGGTGGAACCTCAGTTTGTTGAACGTCGCAGTTACCAATATGGTGGAGACCGCGGGGGATCAGAAACAAAACAGTGGACGAGATATCGGGAAGATGTTTCGACAGCAGGAGACAGTACTTAAGGATTGGACTGTGCAGGAACCCGAGTCATCATCTGATGTGCCGCGGTTGTCCGGCGGTTCCCCTGAGATCCAGTCCCAGTCAGATGATGGCTGGGACGATGATGAACCCTTGGGGAGTGTGGATTGTCCTATATGCGGGGTTTCAATCCCATATTTTGCGCAGTTGGCACATCAGATATATCATTCCGAGAAATAGACATGGATCTATTATTCGGCAGCCTTAAATGCCAAGCGTGGGGGGGTCCTTGATAGGTTCGAAGCGGTTGGAAGCGCCTGGTCCTGAGCCACTTACGTGTTCTATGTACAGAGTACATATTATGAATCAAGGGAAACCAAAGACCCTGACGATCAACTTATTTCCCAGTCTACGTACTCCGTATGTTATACAGATTTATGCAATTTTAACATGTATTTAGATAGATATGCCAACGGTGCATCGCCCATGGATCCTCGTCTATGCCAAGCGTGGAATAGACAATATAATTGGATGCTACAATAAAAATAGGTCGTCTCTCCACTAAAGAATCCCCAGTAAACCAATATCATCCAATTGCTCTATATTAAAATGCATAAACTGGAAATTGTTTCAGTCCACTTTCTTTTTGCCAAGCCCTCTGGTTTGGGGATTCCTAAGCCCTTGGCATTGAAGCCCTGTACGGCTGAGCCCGGATTATCTGATCCCTCTGACCTCTTTCCCTTTCATCACTTTCTTGATTGAATTGTCTTGTGTTTCCTTTCTAGTCCTTCGTTGATTCTCTCGTTTATTTTAATTTCCCACTCTACTTGAACCCCTTCCCTAAACCCTAGGTGGACCCTGAAATTTCCCTTGCCACTCAGGGCCCTGGAAACTCTATTCCCTCCCAAAGACCGGGGAAAGGACCCTGAGATCGAGATATTACCATGAGGTTTTCTACTATTTTGCCCTTAATCGGTGCATTTTCATCGCTCTTTCAACAATCACAAGGTAAATATCCAAATATCCACTTACATTCAGCGGTGCCCAGCCACCCCCCCGTTGCCTAGCCCCGTTGTCTAGTCCCGTTGCCTAGCCGCTGACAATCTCCAGCACGATCACAAGCCTCAGAGGCCATTCGACGGGTGACGCCTGTCGACAATGCCATCATTCGTACTCCTTCACATCGAATAGACCACCTGTCACATTTTGATATCACATTCGCCTTACACCAAGATGACAAGCGCATAAAGCTAGAACTCGAGCCTAATCATGATATTTTGGCCGAGGACGCTTACGTGCAATACATCGGCGCCGATGGCACCATAAAACGTGCCGAACCGATCAAACGACACGAACACAAAGTCTTCCAAGGTCGCGCCCTGGTAGGATCCGGAAAGGGGAGATGGACGCCCGTGGGCTGGGCCAGAATCACCGTCAAAAGGGATGGCCTAGAGCCTCTCTTTGAGGGTGCTTTCAGTGTCAACAATGACAAGCACCACATTGAGTTGCAGTCGACCTATCTCGACAAGAAGCGCCCGATCGATGCCGACGTCGAACCCAGAGATGGGGAATCTATGATTATCTACCGTGACTCCGATATGTTCCACTATAAACACTCAGAGCTCAAGCGATCGCTTCCCGTATCCGAAGGCTGCGGTGCGGATCAACTTGGATACAATACTGATCTGTCCAACTCGATTTTCGGATATGACATGGACGAAACAGATGGTCAGTGGGGTGTTACCTCGTTGAACTCGATGTTCGGATTGGGAAAGCGACAGTCTTCGTCTGATGTTGGCGGTGTCTCGGGCAACACTGGCGGTGTGAATCTGAAAACGACCATCGGCGATACCAGTGGATGTCCTAATACAAAGAAAGTCGCGTTGATCGGAATTGCAACGGATTGTGAATTCACCGAATCGTTCATGGCTACCAACTCCACCCCCGAAAAGGCCGCCAGGGACTGGGTTATCAACGTCGTAAACACAGCTTCAAGTCTCTATGAAGAATCTTTCAATGTGTCCATTGGTTTGCGCAATCTTACAATTTCCGAAACAGGCTGCTCCAGCACGGGCTCCTCTGCTACCCCATGGAACGTGGATTGCAATGGGGGAAATGTCACCTGGCGTCTGAATGAATTCTCCAAGTGGCGCGCATCTCATTCGGATGAAAATGCCTACTGGACCCTGATGACGAACTGCCCAACAAGCAGTGAGGTCGGAGTTTCATGGATGGGTCGTCTATGCTCCTCCGACCTGGTTACCTCCGGAGAGAACTCTGTCACCGGTGCGAACGTCGTAGTTCGCAATTCTGGTTCTTCCTGGCAGGTGTTTGCCCACGAGACTGGTCATACCTTTGGAGCAGTGCACGACTGTGACCAAGACGCCTGCACCAGTAACTTGGATGCCTCTTCTCAATGCTGTCCATTGAGTTCATCGACCTGTAATGCCAATGCCGAATACATTATGAACCCATATGCTAAGAACTCAATGACCAAGTTTTCGGAGTGTACCATCGGCAACATCTGCTCTGCCATTGGCAAAAACAGCATCAAGTCCTCTTGCCTATCGGACAACCGCGGCGTCGTGACCATCAGCGGCAGCCAATGCGGCAACGGCATCGTCGAAGGCGATGAGCAATGCGATTGTGGCGACGAAGAAAGCTGCAGCGACAACTCCTGCTGTGATGCCAAGACCTGCAAATTCAAAGACAGTGCCGTGTGCGACGATGCAAACGATAGCTGCTGCAACAAATGCCAATTCGCCTCCGCCGACACCGTCTGCCGCGCCAGCACCGGCGAATGCGACATCGCCGAGACCTGCAGCGGAACCTCGAGCTCCTGTCCCGACAACAAATACAAAGAAGACGGTGCCAGCTGCGGCGAAAAGAATCAGAAGCTCAGCTGCGCCAGCGGCCAATGCACAAGTCGCGACTACCAGTGTCGCACGGTGATAGGCTCCCTGCTGAACACCAACGACACTTGGGCTTGCGAAAACACAAATAGTCCCTCCTGCAGTCTCGTCTGCGGTGCACCCTCGCTCCAACACTCGATCGGTGTCCAGGAATGTATTGGCATGAACCAGAACTACCTAGACGGTACACCCTGCGACTCGGGCGGTCGCTGCAAGGCAGGTCAATGTGAGGGCTCCTCGGCTCTGGGCTGGATCCGTCAGCATGAGAAGCTGGTTATTGGTATCTGTGTCGGTGTCGGCACATTCATCCTGCTTGCTATCTTCTTCTGTATCTATAGTCGCTGCAAGCGCAGCGCACAGCTGCGGAAGGCCCGCAAGGCTATTCCCCCTGGTACATACCGCCGCTACAATGGGCCCCAACCCAGTGCCCGCCAGCCCATGGACCAGTGGCATGGATACCCCAATGGCGGATATCAGAATATGCCTCCCAATGGCGGATACCAGAATGTGCCTCCTCCCCCTGGCCCCCCGCCACGATACTCATGATCACCCCCTTTGCTTCTGGTTTTATTCTAGTTTATGGGTTCCATTGAACCTGGTCTTGTTTGCATTCGTGCCTCTGGGATTTGCGGAGGCGAATTTGGGTATCGGCGTTATCGTGGATGACTGCGCATGTGGTTACATGTATTATCGGTCCTTATAGTATGCTATCATCCGCGATCTGGGGTTTGGAGCTTTCTTTCTTTTCTTGCGGGTACTGTCTTATTGAATTTTGTATCCATTTTTCGTGAGTAGATACATTTGAAACCCTTTGGGCTATGAATTGATACCGCATCTCCATCTTGCAAGTATACTCTACTCAGCATGTAGATGTAGATATCGTATAGAGGAATGAATATCCATTTGAAGTTGTGATTTTAACCCAAAATAAACACAAGAGACACTTACTCCCAAAACAAGCATGAGTAAAACGACAAAAGAGACACAAGAAAAGTAACTCAAATCCCAACACCAAGGGAAAAAAAAGCCCCCATGCACAACAAACAATCAACCTTCAGTGAAGTTCTAGTCTCCTAGAGAGATCGAACCTATCCATCCCCCCAACAAGGATGACCAAGTGATCCAAGGCTTATTTAGCAACTCATTGCCAACAAATCCCAACAAAAGCCTCCCTCGTAACACCACCAACACCCTCAAGATCAAACTCCTCAATCATAGCCCTAAGTTCCTCCTCCTCAAGCCCAGTCTCTCCCAATTCCCTCGCGACACGTCTCAAATCCTCAAGATCAATAAACCCCTTGGCGCCCTCATCGAACAGCTCGAACGCACGCAGGATCTCGTCGCGCGGGTCCCGCTCGAGAATCTTCAGCGCCGTGACGGCCTGGAACGACGAGAGCGGCATGAGCAGGTTGGACGGGTGTTGCGGGTTTGAGACTGGCCCTTTGTTGGAGGTGAGCGGTTGACCTGGGCCGTGTTGGTTACCGGCGGCTTGTTGTTGTTGTTGCACTTGTGGACGGGGGACGCCGTAGGTCGTTAGAAGTGAGATTAGTTCTTGTTTGCCGAGGGTGAAGCCCAGGGCGCGGAAGGCGACGCGGAGTTCATGGTAGTCTAGGTGGCGGTCGCGGTCTAGGTCGAAGAGGGTGAACTTTTGGAGGGGGGTTTTGGTTAGCTGGTCGGTTTCTGGATGGGGTGGGTTTGGGTTTGGGGTTGTGTTTTTCTTTTCCTTTCACTCGTGGAGGGAAATTGAGAGACAGAGGGAGGGAGGGAGAAGTGGGGTTGCAGGAGGGTATAGTAATTGGGGGAAGGGGATTGTAATGTCATAGATGGATTAGGGTATCCCTTACAGCTTCGTTAATCTCTTCCCTCTGCTCTTCCGTGAGTCTGCTCAGCGGATTCGCGTCCTGCGCTGGACCGTGGGACTGCGCGTTTGTTGCGGGCGTGGGCGCAGACTGTTGCATCTGCTTTTGGGCATCGGGCCCGTTGAAGTCGCCTTGGTTGGCGTTTCCCAGACCGCGATGCCGTGAGAATGATGAGGCGCTGAAGGGCATTGCGTTCGTGTTTACCGAGCGTTCTGGGAGTTTCGTGCCGGCGTAAGAGCGCGACGCGAAGGGTTGGCCAGAGGCCATGGTGAATGGCGTGTTCAGGTTTAATTAGATGGCTGGATCAAGAGTTCTTCGGCATTGATTGGAGAGGGGCTCGTAGCCCATGAGAATGCGTGGAGAGATGGAGGTGTTTGGCGGTGGGAGGATTCTGGAGACGCGCCCAGACACGGGCGGAATGACAACGCCTCGCTGTTTTGGTTTTGTTACAGATATAGACATCATCCCA